GGCTGCACCTTATTGCGGCCAAGAACGGTTGAATGAAAGTCAGAACCAATACGATGATCCCGATTGTGGGATGGTAACCCTTTTCAAATCCTTGTTCTTTTATCACAATAATGAGGAATGACACGATCGTCAGAATCCACGTAAGTGCCATCAAGCCTCGATGAATCTGGATACGAAACAGGATTGAAAACAAACTTTATTCAAGGAAAGGCCGTGAATCAAAGGTCAGTTCTTTTCCATGTGAAACTTGAAAAAATGAATCATCTTGTTATGATATTCTCGAATTCCTTTCGAGCATATAGGTTTGATTCTAACCTATATTCTCACAATAAAATAGTGTAAAAACAAAAAATATCATACTTTTATATGATGATGACCACAGGGTTTATCTAACTTCATACGAAACACTGACGCACCATTCGTTTTCATATTCACGAATATTGAATCAATAATCCTTTTGCGAAGTTATCCGAGCAGTTTTGTCATCAACCACAGAAATTAATAGAGCGTGACAATCGAGTAACCATTTTAATTACGCGCCAAAAGATAAGTTCAAGGTACATTTTTTAAAGCCACCGTCGACATGCTTGTAATTCAGTTAACCCCGAAATAGGAAACAATACAAATTTTTACGTGCACTTCGCCAAAAATATGAGTTCGTGCAATAATGAACATTATACAAAGTTTCCTTTTTCGAATAACATGCAGTACAGTAATTAGACAAGTCTCTAATGTCGACCACGGTGAAAACAGTTTTTAAATGGATTGGATGAGTTGCAGAAAATCCAATTTTGTATCGAAAGAATTACTAAAATATTTTACCTCGCATTAATATTGTAAAAATGAATTGCTATTGAATGAGTTTAGATCGCTTTTCGAAAAATATAAAACATATCCAGAAAATAGCCCTAAGCGTATTTCGGGTGCAAAATATTCTTGGAGACCCCATTTTATTTCAAAACATATCAATAGCCTAAAAAAAATAACTCCGTTAAAAATCCGAACGTAATTGTTTCGTCAACAGCTGTACAGTCCATCGTCCAAATCGCAAACTTACTCAGTTTATTTTAGTTATTCCCTTCTATTTGATATTTTACAGTCTCGTGTATGTGTATATAGTTACCGTAAACCACACAGCTTTTCCGAGGAGGGTTGAAGCAACCCAGGTCCGTTTGTAATATCTGGCGGCGAGCATTCCGCTTGATGCCGCTGCAACCCAAGCGAAAATCATCAGCACTCCGTGTGCCAATTCCAGGGCTTCCCCGGTCAGATCGGCTCCTTCCACGCTCGTCAAATTTACTGCACTTCCCGGAGCTCCTCGCACTGTGTGAATAGCTAGAGTTCCTGCAGAGCAAATAGAGTATATTTTTGTGAAAAATTGTCATGCAAAATTGTTTTCAAAAGTTGAAAATAGTATTTTACTACTTGTTTTGATTTTTTAAAATTTAATTTCAATATGAAAAGGAATAATACCATCGTTACGGATCGGTCCAGCAGCCAGCAAAACAAAGTAGCTTTCCTTGTACAAGTCAAATTTGTTACTGGCGACTGTCGTCTGGACACTTTGCGAAAATGAACAATACATGTCTCCGTTTTCATATCTTCCATTCGGATCAATCACGACCCCAGCTGGAGACTGAAAGCACATAATTTCCAAAAATAAAATACAGTATAATATAGGATTTTTGAGGTTTATTAAAAAAAAACTCACGGGATCCAAAAGCGTTGGCGTGGTTTTCCCAGAGTTCCAATAAGCATCCACGGAAATATTTAGACTGGAACGAGTCTGTGCTGTTTTGCACAGCACGACAGAATCACCTCCCTATTAAAAATAAACAGTAGATTTTTTTTTTCTTGCACTTATTTGTATGAAGTATTCAAATTTCAAACGGTCTTTCTTATTTTTAACGGCGGGGGGAAATTCAAAGGCACTTCATTTCTGAGGATGAATGCGATTTGAATTTTGAAGGAACTCGGATTTATAAGAAAATATTGTAATGCTCAGTATTTAAAATTCCCTCATAAATTAAATTATAAACGAGAAAGCCTTTCTTTTGAAAATTGAACCGAAGTGTTTCGAAGGCAAGTTTTCCTCCTTATTTTCTGTGGATCGGCGCTGTTTTGCACAGCACAACAGAATCAGCTTTCTTGAAAGTAAATTAAAAATTTGTTTCTCCACTGAATTTATTAAATTTATGTGCATTCAAACGTCCATCGTCTTTATTAATGATGAGGGAAAACTCAAAAGAAATGTAGTTCAGAAGATTCGGGCGATTCGAAATCAGTTTCAGAGTCTTCTGCACGGTCATTTGCTACTCTAATTTAATGTAAAATATTGCCCAATATTCAGAATTTTCCGCATAAATTCCATACTTCAAATCGTTTCAAAAAACTGAACCCAGTATTTTGAAGGAACAATTTCCTAAATTTTCTCGCTGTTTGGGAAGTTGTGGGGGAAAAAAATGTAAGCTTCAAACCATGTTCTCATCCTTGGAGATCCCCACGGATATCCAGCCTTGGAGAGGCACTTGCTTAGCCATCAGTGAAAATTGGACCACGGACTTTTGCCACTGATAATTGACGATGATTTGGCAATTTTTCGCCGCCAAACAGCCTTGACTAGCTTTTCCGGTGCACACACCAACAGCCGAACAACCCACGCAACCCTGCGTCACTTCGCAACCCGCGTAGAACCCATCCAAGGACTTGTCAGGGACTATGGCCAACGTGTTTCTCGAACCCTATGCATATACAAACGGGGTTTTTAGTGATGGGGAACATTTTTTTTTAAAAGCATACCAAGAGACTCGAAATATTTTTATTTGAGTGGAATATCTTGACAAAAATTGTGTAGCTTATGATGATGCTAGCTATTTTTATTTTTAAAGCTTATACTGTAGTAATGTATAGATGTCTTACCCTGCGAGGAGGTGCTTCGTAATTGGCCATCATAAAAGCAGCTTTTCTATCCGCGAAATGATTGCCGATAATTGGATGTGGACTTGATTGCTTCGCAAACCAGGTCCCACCTCTTCTCCAATAAGCACTGAAACACGAAGAAAAATTTGCTGAAATGCTGTGATGCTGTGCCGAGCTATATTTAGATATTCTAATCTACAACCGAGTAACTCAATCTTTTTTTTTTCGACGAGAAGCCATTTTTAAGAAAAAAAATATTTACTGGAGCCCATGATGAATTGAAATTATTCCGCGATGGAGGCCCTTAAATTTACCATTACGCCTTTATTTCGAATGAATATTTTTTTCAGTTTCAAGAATGACAACATTCCATGAATAAATTTCGTAACTTGAAATGCTGACCCACTGTATTAGTTCTTCTCAATTATTTGCCGTCTTTACATTTTTTAATCTTGAACGCAATATAAATTTCTCAGCAAATTTATTTATAGAATCTCCGCGGTGCACACAAAATTATTTTTGATTTTTCACACGGAGCCCCGATTTTGAAAAACCTCGATTTAAAGTAAAATTGTAAGGCGACTATTTTACCTGATGATGACATCACCGTCCACAGGAATATCTGATGGTGACCACTTCACGGTGAAGAGGAACTTGTCTTCTTTTGGTCCCAATCGACGGTGCGCGATTTTCTTGATTGCGTCCTTGTCAAAATGGATCAATTGCTTATTGCTGTTGGGTGTTTGCTGCAATGCGCAACCCGGAATAAAGTTGTGAGTGACAGTTAGCAAATACCGTAGATCACAGTCTTAATACCAATGACTGACACGTTATTTATAGCGATTTGCGCTTTTTTTTTTTTTAATGTCGCATTGCATTCATTTATTCAGAGATTACCAACATTGAGGGTCAGGATTCGAGTTCCAATACCTAAGGGTCAAACAAACTACAGTATTTTGGTGTTCCCTTGATTGACACGAGGAATTTTTTCCAATGTCACCGCAATTATATAATGGTGGGGTTTCCCCAAGCTTATTATATTTCGGAAGCAATGTTTTTCAGATATTTGAAAATTAAAATTTAATTATTACGTTAGATTTTACAAATTTAACCAAAGATGTATAGACGATTTTTATCCTCTAAATAACGAAGCAGTTGCATTAATTTTTCATTTCACATCCGACACAATAATGATCAAAATTTGAAAATGATTTTTGTATAGAATATTTGAAACGATGAGGCAATTGACTCAACGACAAATGAGAAACACTGGAAAGTTTGACAGTTTCCTAGTTCATAATTTGAAATACTTATACACTATGAAGGCGAATCTTTATTCGGAATAACATTTTAGGGATTATCGAAGAACCTTTTTTTTTTATCCAGGATAGAATTGTTTCTTTGAGCCTGTTGAAGAATCACTTTTATTTTAGAATTAAAAATGCTATTCTTACGTTCTTTTTTAATTTTACAGCGCTCGATTTACTTCGCATAGTGATCATGGATGATTCGGGATTTATGGCGAATAATATTTTAGAATAATTTTTTATATACAGTATTTCTTGCTTATTCGAAAGATTGTTTTTCTTAAAATTTTTTCCGCAACATATGAAACGTTTCAAAATTATAGCCTTCTTCTCAAAATTGTTTACTTTGTCTCTTCATTTGAAATCGAACTGAATAATATGAGCACCGGGATCAGCGATTTATACTATGAACTCTGGATTACCCATAATTTTTAAAATAATATAACCAATTTCGAAAATGCAGGGCTGACTTCTTGAGATATCGTCATGATGGATCATCAAAATGAACCAAACATTATTGTTTTCTTTTCTCTACGTTCACTGAAAGCAAACATTTCCAAAGTATTTCGGGCAGTCAATAATCCTCTGAAGTCCTGAGAGCGTAACAAATGTGGCGTCTTTCATAAAAAATTCAATATGCCCCCCCCCATACGTTTCTCATGTATAATCATTGACGAATAACATCGTTATTTACAAAATTACTATTTTTAGAATCGGCAAAAATTGCATCTATGTCAATACGTCACACAGAAGGAACAACCTTGGAAACAATTAAACGGCGAACAATTCAATATGAAACAATTTTGCGAGGTAGAATTAGATAGGATAAGAAACCGCTAAAATGTCTTGTAAACAAAATTAAAGAAAAGTTTTGCAAGATGTCCGTGAAAGCGTTTTCTTTTTAAGCGCCAGGATGATGTTGAAAATTAGTTTTGTATCTGAATGAGGATTGATTTCATCCTTCAACGTCAAACACTTCAATTGTGTGGCTTCTTCTGAAATATCGCAGCTTATCCTTCTATCATGACAGAACTAGCTGGAAAGGGACATTCTTTCTTTCGGCATTTTTTTACTCCGTCATTTTTGTACATAGGCATTTTTTTCCTGACCACGAATAAGTTATACAGTACTGTATACAGAGATCCCAAGATGCGGACGTAATTGGTGGATCAAGAGTGTCCTGATGTTGGAATGTCAAGTCTCATTTTTCCTTGGACCCCAATGCTAATGTATTTAATTGGTTCCTCTTTTTGTCAAAAATTATGAATAAGTCCTCAAAAAAATTTCATAAAAATTGCTTCCCCCAACTTCAAGTTCTAGAAGACAACAGTGAAGAACAAAAATACATAGAATATGATCTCTTGGTATCAAAAGGAGATCAAAAAGCAAAGCAAAAGATTAAGTCTTGCTAGAATAATATGCACAGTTGATAGAAAAAAAAAAACTCTGAAAAAGAAGCACAAAATCAGCTTGCTTTCAATTATGAGAGTGAATTTATCATGACATTTTTTCATTTTTTGTGAATTTAAATATAGCTTGATTTCTTCAGAAGATATCAAAATTAAAAAATAAAATGCTTCAATTTTTAGGGAAAATTTCAGAAAAGTGTTTGTCCTAACTTGAGCCAATGTCCAGATGGCGTGCCTGATTTTTTTGGTTTTCAAGTGTCTTTAAGTTGAATTGTCCATACCTTGGGGTTTCCGCATATCGGGGATTAGGAGAGTAAATTTATCATGACATTTTTTTTCAATTTTTTGTGAATACAGTACAAATATAGCTTGATTTCTTCAGAAGATATCAAAATTAAAAAATAAATTTCTTCAATTTTCAGGGAAAATTTCAGAAAAGTGTCCCTATCTTGAGCCAATTTCCGGATGGCGTGCCTGATTTTTTCGGTTTTCAAGTGTCCTCAAGTTGAATTGTCCATACCTTGGGGTGTCCGCATATCGGGGATTACGAGAGTAAATTTATCATGACATTTTTTCAATTTTTTGTGAATATAAATATAGCTTGATTTCTTCAGAAGATATCAAAATTAAAAAATAAATTGCTTCAATTTTCAGGGAAAATTTCAGAAAAGTGTCCCTAACTTGGAGCCAGTGTCCAGTTGGCGTGCCTGATTTTTTCGGCTTTCAAGTGTCCTTAAGTTGAATTGTCCGTACATTTGGGTGTCCGCATATCGGGGTCTCACTGTATACTCGACTGAGGAACTTTTCTGACACAAAAGGATTCTTTCCGGGTAGCCATATAGGCTTGACATCATGCGAGTACAGTACTGTATAAACAGCGTTGCTCAAGGCCGCTACCTAGCAACCATCGCACTCATAACCTTGTCCAAGCCGTGACCTTGTTATCGGGTCACAATCAAGGGACTTATATTCAGAGAGAACCGCTGTCTTTGCATCGCAAGAAAGATGATACGATCAGTATTTCTTTTTCCAATCTGCTGATGGGTGAAAAAATTGAGTACCCAGTGGTGATCCCTGTTTGACCCCGCCGCCAAAAAAAGGGCCTTTCATTCCCAGGCCCCATTAAGAGGGCTGCAGATTTTGTCTCGTCTCAGCCGCATTTCACCTCTTCTCCCGCCAAAACAGGATTTTATGTATACTGGGGACGTGAATTCTACGGTCCTCTCCCTTCAACAAGGCAAGGGTTTCCTTACCCACACATTGGTACAATGATGCACATTGGTACAATACACAGGAAATATCATGAAAAATAAATGGTGAGGGGCCAAAAATCCGGTAGGCCAAAAAATCTCGTGGGGTCCGTGGAATCTAATTGCATAACCATGGATGCAGATCAAAACTTTGACAGAACAGT